GAAAGAGATTATACACACAAGAGTACATACTATAATATTACATATATCTCAAATTCAAGAAGTACAAACTGAACTATATTGATAAAAATCAATTCTGTGTTGTCTCTGGGTAGGGAGTCACCTGGAAATTCACATGAGATAACTTTTGGATGTGATGAAGATATAGTATTTCTTGATTGGTGAGGTGGTTAAATGGGTGAATATATTTGTAAAACCTCAAATAACTGATACTTAAAATACTTATATTTTTAAATGTAAACTCCTCCTTAATTAAAAATAAGGAAAAAAGTGAGTGTAAAAGGGAAATTAAAAACCCTCATGACCATGTTTTTTAAAAAACCTAATTAACAAAATACACACAAGGAACTCTAAGTATAGTATTAGAAATGATGATAAACAAAGAAGAGCAAAAGAACAACTTCTGGAAGTACTAATATCGGAAGAACAACAAGAACAACAAAAAAAAAACTGCCGGTGGTAATAACTTAAAAAGTCTTTGGCTGATTTGCTATTAACCAAAACAAGGAATGTTTAGAGGTTCCAATTAAGAGTTGAATACTTTCTGATGACAACACAAGAGGGAGCTCAACAGCTGCAAAACTAGGAATACTATCCTCCCCTCACAAGAGTACATGAAAACTAATCTCACTAAACATGAGTTCAGGAAAAGATCATGCCTGTATTTCATATGAAGTTATTATGACAAAAAAAAATCTTCAGCAGTGCAACATTACTATAGAGAATAGCTGTGCACCTACAGAGTGAAAACCAAGATATCCTGCCCAGGTTCTCCTTCAAATAAAGGACTTGTTGCCCCCCAGCTGATAGTAGCTCTGTCAGTAGGCAGACTTTAGCTGTCAACTTAGTCATTGTGTCAGCAACACAGACACCTTGTCCAAAGTAACAGGCTTGGTAGAGCAGACTACACCCAAACAAAATTATGCAGATTAATAAAGCCCTGGCCATCGTGGCCCAGCTCAGGACACCTCTGAATGGTCATTCCAGCTACAGAGCTCACTGTCGGGTCAGCTGAGGTTGTCACTAGGAGCGCATTGGGCTTGACCTCTCTCTGTACCCAATACTTCCCCCCACATTCCACAGGTGTTAATCTGTATAAATACATGTATTTATTAACAAATATTCTATATGCCAAGTGATCTCAGAATATGCTTCCCAGGGAACACAACTTGCAATAGCCGGGAAGATGTGACTTCAAAATCGATGAAAACTCTAACTAAATATTTCAAAATGAGGTCAAAGAAGTTAAAGAAGTGATAGAAAATACAAAATAATAGCAAAGATCAGAATCATAAACTCAGTCAAGAGTGAATAGAAGAGAAGAAGTTTTGAAAAGAGAGGGGATAGATTAGGAAGCTGTTGGAAATGAAAGAAAAATTATTTCATAAATGAAGGTTAAACTTGGAGGAACATAAGACAATAAAATTGATGGATAAGGCTATAACAGAAAAAGATACAAAAAGAGAAACTGGAGTAAAAGAAAATAATAATACTAGGGAATATAGCTCTGTAAATATATTGTTATAAAGTGTGAAGGCATGAAAATACTAATGCATGATATTAGAAGCCATGAATGTTGTTTCTGTTGGAGAATAGGTAGTGGGTAATGAAGTGTTTGGAATATTATATTTTTTGACCTATACATATTCACTTTGTGATAATTAATTGATGTGTTCATTATAATTTGTGCACTTTTCTGTGTGTTTGTGTTTTATTTAAAAGGTGTACATGGTATACTGTTCTTCTTTCATGGTTCCAATATATTTTATATGAAGATATCAATTATTTTTTTTTATTCTATGCATTTCCTGTATATCCCCCTGGGGATTCTCTCTTATCTTTAGGTATCTGTGTTTCATGTTAAAGTCTTCTTCAAATGTCTGATAACTTTTGGATGTTCAAATATATTCCAGACCACAGCACTAAAAACCCTGTTTGAAGCTCTCTACACATGGGTAGACCTTGTGAACTGGTGGGCCCCTACGCAGAAGTCAGGCAAAGCAATGCTATTCATTTTGTTGAAATTACTCCTAACTTCTCATTACCTTCTCCAGAAAGAAACACTCCTGCTACCTAAGTGAAAAGTGTAAGACTGTCTGTCAATCTGGGGTCTGAGTGTTGGGAAAGAGGCTGCTGGTGCCTCATAGTATGAAACCACTCACATTTAATCCTCTGCTTGAAGTACAGCCCCTTACATTTGCCTCTGTTCTACCAAGTGTTTGAAATCAGAAGTCCTTAGTTTAACTGCCATAAAAGTTAACCTCCAATGTTAACCTGGCATGCAACAGATACAAAGCGATGTTACTCCAGTGGGAGTCGGCGGTCTAGTGCTGATCTATGAGCTTGTTGTTATAGGCTTGTAATGAGACAGGTATAGAAACTACATTACATTTTTGTTACTTACCAGTGGTAACCAACTATTATAAAATTTGATATTACTGAGACATACAAGCACACAATCAGACACATTTTTTGGAACAGAGTATAGAATAGCTCAGATGCTTTTCATTTCTTTTTTCTAGTAGTTGATTTTTATCGTATCTTACTGAAGTATTGGCCTTCTATGAAATGTAAAAAGAAACTGGTTCTTTACTGCAGATGATTTGAGAAGCACTGATGGAGAATTTGAGTTCCTTATTCAGACAGTAAACCAATCTTACTCCTCCCAATATCATCTGGGTGACCCAGTTGTGACAAGAATGTCCAGATACAGTTAGGCGTTGTGAACTGGTTGGCTTGCAGGTGTGTTTTCAACTTTCTCTCTTCCTCATACAACCATGTCAATTGTCCTTTTTATTTTTGCTTCTATAATTGTTTTGATGTCTCCCCTGTGTTGTTCTCTCCTGTTTACCTTCTTGATGATGGCTTATATGTATTTTTTAATACACCTGCTATTATTTTAGTGCATTTATAGGTAGAAATACATGTTAAATCCCAAGAGGTTTATTTGGTATGTAATAAAAGATTTCACAACAAAATTCAACATCAATGTTGTTAGAAGGGTAATAAAACGCTAATAAGCTCTAAAAAGCAGTGAAGCATTTTAATTCAGCACTATGAAACCATGACAGGTCATATACACACCAATAACAATATAGTGTACTAAAATAGTTTAATTAAATTTAATTCATAAAATAAATACAACATCTACACATACCAAAATTTTAACTTAAATGAGTGTGCTTCACTGAGCATAATTCATAAGAAACCATTAATAAAACATAATAATTTGTAAAAATAGAACTGTCAATCACATTCTCCCACAACACAAAACCAAACTAGAAATAAATAACAGAAGTTATTTAAATATCAGCACGAATATAACTATAATACATAAACACTCCATTCCTAAATAATATTTGGTCAATAAATGAGAAATATAAACCCACTGGAAGAAAAAAAAAAGAACAGAAGAAAACAATGGCAATAACCAATGTTGTACTTGAAATGCCTTAATTATTTAACTATGAAAGTGAAATGAAGTAAAATGAAAATAAATAAAAATATTTAGGTCAAAAACTGGAAAAGGGAGATAAAAATAGGAACAGAGGTTATAGTTTTTAAATATAAGAAAACATTATTTGTGATTTGACACATTTTAATTTGAAAATCTAAATAAGGTTAACAGGAAAGAATACAGTTATATTATACCCCAGAAAAAAGAGGCTGCACATGAAATATGAACTTCAGTTTTATTCATTATTCTTTTACAAGAAAACTGATAATCTACAGCATAGCTAGAGAACTGCACCCAGGATAGTGAGGCATCTGAAATTCAGGTCACATAAGTTATGGAAAACGTTCAGATTGTCATCATAACTGTCTCAAACATCTGAGAATCAGGACTCAACTTACCGTATGACACAAGAGATAGAATGTGTGAAAAGCAGAGGCAAACATCAGCTGAAATGAGAGGGAATAATAGTAAGAGCTGAGTGCGATGGGAACATACATTTTGTAAGGTCAATGATGCCCAGTCAGTGGAGAAGGGTTTACTTTACAGATACTGTTGAAGAAATTTCTGTACGGGTCAGAGATCGGACCAGATGATCATCAAAGTACTTCTCTCTCAAATCTTATATACTCACTTGATAAATTTGAAATTGAGTAGCTTCCTCTTCCTAATAAATTCAGTGTGGAAAGCCATGTAGATACCTTTAGCCTGAGATGGGACAGAATGGTTAAATATTATTTTCCATTCCATTATGTAGCATAACTTCTATGTTATGTAACATAACTTCTATGTCATGTAAGAAGTGGTTCAAAGGAGCAGTCAGAAAAGCCGTTCCAAAATACCTGAAGAACTTGAAAGAAATAAAATCCTCTCAGTTATGCAAAACTTGCTTGATATGAGTTCTACATTGTATGTAGTTTCACATTTTGCACTGCTTTTACAGTTTCTTTTATACTGTTTATAAGATACAAATAAAATCCCCACAACATAGAACAGGAAAATTACATTATCCCTACTTTCCATATATTAGAATTTAGACTCAGAGAAGAGTCAAAGCTTCAGTCATGACCTAACCAGTGTCCAGTTTTAAATCATCTAATTACCCATATGGTACAGTTTTCCCTGCCATGTCATACCACTAGATCTATGCCACCTTCAGGCCTGGACTCCTCATTTTAAGCTGGACATAACCTTAAACAGAGTACAATCAGACATTTTGGTCAAACAAGACAAATATAGGGCAAAAAATGATGGCTGCTAAGACCTTTTTGAGGACTTTAAATCCAGAGGAAGAACGGAAAGAGGAGGAGAGTTATACTCTATTGCCAGATATTTTGTAATCTCTCTTAATCACAATGACTCCAGGAAGAAAATATTGCTATCTCTGCTTTACATAGAACATGTAGGCCCCAAATGTCAAACAATCCAAGGCCCTCACAGTTAGATAAATAGACTAGATAATCTCATGATTTAAATAATCGTGACACAATTGGTCTAATGGTGTCCATAATGTTCAAAAGTACTCTGATTATAGTGTCTTAAGAGAAAATCCAGACTTTCCAATCAGTTTCCGAATAGCCAGCTGCACATCTTTGTTCCTGAGGCTGTATACCATGGGATTCAACAGTGGGGTGATGATGGTATAGGTTACTGTCACCAGCCTATCTTTGCCCGAAGTATATTTGGCTGAGGGTCGCAAGTAGACAAAGGAAGCACAACCATAATGGACAATGACTACAATGAGATGGGACGCACAGGTGGAGAAGGCTTTTTGTTTGCCTTCAGCTGATGGGATCTTCAGAATGGTGTGGACAATGAAGCCATAAGAAATGCAGATAAATATCAAGGGCACAATATAGCTGTCAGCACAGGCAAGACGGATAACTGGTGAAATATCACAAAAGTAGTGGTTGACCTTGTTGGAGCCACAGAAAGGGAGGCTAAAGACCAAAGTTGTTCCCACCAGAGATATTAGGAAACCACTAATAATACAAGTTGCTACCAGTTGTCCACATACTCTCCAGCTCATGAGAACAGCATATTGCAAAGGCTGGCAGATGGCAGCATAACAATCATAACCCATCACTCCCAGAAGCAGACAGTTAGTGACAGCAAAACCAAGGAAGAAGAACATCTGGGTGGCACAACTCACAAAGGAGAGTGTCCTGAGTACAGAGAATAAGTTGATAAGCATCTTGGGCAGAATAACAATTGTGTAGAAGATTTCCGAGATAGAAAGAATACCTAGAAAGAAGTACATGGGTGTGTGGAGGCTGTGATCCAAATGAATGACCGAGATGATGATGATGTTTCCACTCAAGATAATCAAATAGAGGCAGAGAAAGACTGCAAAGAGGACAAGCTGCAATTCCCCAAGGCTGGAGAAGCCCAGCAGTAAGAACTCAGTGATAGAGGAGGAATTGGCCATAAAGAGTTGATCGCACAGAATAAAGTCAATATGATCAGGTCCAGAGATCTTTGGAACTTAAAATTCAGGAAGACTTACCCTTATAGAGTAGCTAAGCCAGTCTTGTTTGAATGAGAAACAACAAGCATGGGAGAGAAAAAAGAATTGTAAATTTAACCAGAAGTTCTTCTAAATTGATATGCATTCAAACTGCTATTTTTCTGCTGTTGATTTTAGCAGTGAATCTGGGGACAAATGTACACGTGAAGGGTACAGTTATTTGCTCAAAAAAGCCTATCTGTTAGGTCCCCTACTTGGAGACTGTCTTGCTCCTTCCTGCCCAGGACAAGAATCATCCCTTAGTGCAGTGTATCCAGACTGTATATGCTATTACTTATTAGTCACTCAGAAGCCATCCAGTTATCAGATCAACTGTCATGGTATCACCAAGCTTGTGCTCAAGTAACCTTTATTTTCCTTAATAATGGCTCCAAAGTGCAAGAGTAGTGATGCTGATGTAATGTTATTGTTGATCTATTTTATTATTAGTTATTGTTGTTAATATCCTGCTATGCCTAATTTATAAATTAAGCTTTATCATGGGCATGTATTATAGAAAAAATTCATAGTATATTTAGGGTTCAGTACTATTCAGTTTCAGACATCCACTGGAGTCTTGGAATATATTCCCTGCAGACTAGAGAGGATTCTTGTAATCTAATGTTATAAAATCCTTTATCTATATTAATTATTATTTTCAACGGTCACATTTTTATCCTGATGACTGATACATATGTCAATAAGGGATAGCATGAACAAGCAATAGCACCAATGTCTGATAATTCACTTTTCTACACCAGTTTTTAATACCTTCTCCATCTAGAGAAACATCCATTGATCTTTGTGTTACTTAAAGAGCACAGTTCCCTTTTACAACTAATTATATAACCAATTTTTATGCATTCATTTGTTACAAATAAATTGGTTTTGAACTATTGCTATTGTTTTAGGACTGGCTTTTTGATTACTCTAGGAACTCTTACAGGATTATAGAGCTGATTTCTCCTTACAGAAAAGACATGGCTAGAACCATTTAGTTTTGCTTCAGCATTCACTTGTTGCCCATTGTTTTAGGTCCTATCCTTGATGTACCTGACTTGGAGGCCCAAAAGGCTGTCATTCCAAGGAACTGTCTCTAAATTTCTGAGCAAGTGGTCTCAGATACCTTCCTTAAGGCCTCCAACATATTTATCATTGCTGGTACTGAATTATATACATTTTAATCAAAACATCCTTATTCTGTTCTACCTCTTGCTAAATGTGTTCTTTTATCTAGATTCTGTATCTCAACAAATAGTTTCAAAATACTCTTAAGCCATCTAAGCTGTAAATTTCTAAGACATGTTTAAACTCACCATTTTTCTAATCCTCCACATTCAATCTATTTTTGTTCACTTTTAGGATTCATTCTTATATTTTGCAAGTAATTATACCTTGCCTGGACTACAGTGTTATAAGTGAACTGCCCAGATTCTCTCTTCCACTCTGAGTAACCCTCCATAATAGCAGCAGAATTCTTTCTATAGAATAAATCCTATCATATTACAAAACCAACTGACTCTTAATTATCTATAAAATATTCTAGGTCTTTCACACTTTTCCCAGTTTCACCTTTTCACTCATAAGTGCCATTATAGATTCCTTCATATGTACTTCAGCAGTAAGAATTTTTACACAACCAAGTCATTTTTCATACTACTCTCTATATCTGGAAATAGTCTCTGCTTTATACTTATTGTTTTTCTGCTTCTAATTTTGTGGTCTCCTTTTACTTTTCATTTAAAATGACTTTACTCATAGAATCCTTCCTACAGTTTCCCAATCATGCTACACCGTTTTTTCTGGATTTCCTGAGTGATCACTAGAATCTTACTTGCTTTGCCACAAACTACTATTATAAGATTGTCTTTGACTCTACAAGCTGTAACTTACCACATAACAGAAACTGCAACTTGAACACATACAATGATGCCCAACATATACTAAGTGCTTCAAAACCTGTTGGAAAAAATCAATGACCAACGATATCACTTTATTCTCTAAATCATTTCAAAACTCTCAAGTAGATGATATTTGATTTCAGGGATTTTCAAAACTTGTTACCTTAATATTAATCTAGCCTGTAATATTAACACTCTGCTTCAACATTTTAGGATGAAGAATCTCTCGACATTATTCTCTGAATGCAGAGCAAAAAATCCCGTTAAAAAGTTGCTATCTTATTTATCATTTCTGATTATCAAACAGTCTCCTCCATTATCTCACTAGCTAAACTTTTTATTTTAATTTTAGAAACACTTGATTTGGGGGCTTGAAGTCCTTTACAAATAACTAAATTGCTATCAATATTTGCTGTTTTGCTTAGGCAAATGTTTAATAAAATTTTGAAATGGGACTAGAACCAGGAGTTTTATTTTCTACCTCTGTATATCTTTGAATGGCCTTATCTCTAAACTTTATAAATGAAGAATATACACCATGCATTTGACCAAAACAGAGTCCTCACTGACATTCTTCCTGATACATCATCTATGACTTTCCATTGTCCATATATCCTTTCTTGGAGTGTTTTCTCACTTACAGGCTCATCCCCAGTATTAATAGCGACAAAGTATGCAAAGAAAGTTGATGCACCTGAAAGAAAAGTAAGGTCATATTACTCAATATCTACTCTATAACTCCTACCCCATCAACCATCTGTTCTTTCAAACTCATCCTTGGAACCTATGTGGAAACTAATAGTGAAAAATAAAATTTGATATGGAAATCTTTGACTTTACTTAACTCAGTCTAGGATACTGCTTTAAATAACTGGTAAATAGGAGATAGTGACATGAGTTTGGAAGGGAAGACATCACAGGTTAAAAGAAAAGATTGGAAAAATGAGGAAGAGGGAAAAAAGTAAAGAAGAAAAATAGAGTAACTAGATCACCTTCTTAACAAGTAGAAATTGTGAATTGATATTTTCACATTATGCTGCTTAGTAACTCTTCATCTATAGGTAAAGTCAGAATTCCTTAAGCTGAGCATCTGATTCTCTGTCTCACGTACATCTACAATCTAATCGTCTAAGTTTTCATCACACGGGAATTGTACTGAAATACTTACAGTTTCCTTTATATGCCCTTGTGTCTCAAGATTCCACTGGGAGAGAGACAGAGAGAAAGAGAAAGAGAGAGAGAGAGAGAGAGAGAGAGAGAGAGAGAGAGAGAGATCTCAGCCTCCAAAATCATTTCCCCTTCATATGTGGCCCACTGATTCCTCACATTTTTAGAGTCATCAATTATTGAACTTTCTCCAATATGTCTACGGAGGGTAGGCTGTTCCCTTCTTAGTAATCTAAAGCTTGTCTAGTATGTCTTCATCAAAATACTCAACATGTTATACCTAATTTTTTTCCTATTGGTCTCTCAAATAGAATTAAGAGCCTCAAGGATAAATGCCTCATCTTATTCCCTTTGTATCTTCAACTTTATCCAATATTTAAATAAATGAGATATGGATACTTGATGCATAAATGTCTATTAATGAATTAGTAATAATTCCAATTAGTTTATTTTGTAGTAACTTGGTTTCCTTAAGAGGCCTCTTAAGTGAGAAACACTTCTGTGTTCCTCATACATTGTATGTTTACTGTAACTTTTTTATTCTTCCTTTCTAAGACTAATACTACCACCACCCTATGAAATAATCAAGACTTATCCTGGGTCTCTGCCTTTGTCTTGGCCTTGGTCTCAATTTTTATCCTCATTTTTTTCACTATTCAGCTTTTCTTTCTGTCATTTGGCCACAATTTTGATTTTTTATTACTAATAACTGGGGATAAACAGATCACTAGCTCCTGGAAAAACTCAACAATTTTTAAATTTGAAATACAAATAAATGACTGTCACTGGTCTTCTTAATAAAAAAATCAAGTTCTCTAAATAAAAATTAAAATTTACTTTTCTTTAAATCAGAGTTCTAGTGCCTTGTAACCTGCCAGTTTATTCATTCTCAGGCATCTCCTAGAAACTTCTATAAAGAGTTGCTAGGTGAAATTTGCCAAAATTGTCTTCCCTGTCATGATGTCTCAGGGTTCTGCTTCATCTTTCAGGAACTCCCAAGACCAAAATAAGAAAACAGCATTACTCCACAGAAAAATGTTACCTGTGCCTTTTCTCCATGGTTACTTTAGGTAATGCCTCAATGGGTGTCATCAATGGCCTTTCCTTTTTACATTAACCATGGTCTCAATGCCTTGGTTGGTAAGTGAGCTCACCACCTCCACAGGGAGTAATTAACACATTGTGCCCAATACGTGTCCATATTTTTTCTAATTAGTGTGTGGAACCATGATAATATGCTATGAGAATTCATTGGCCAAAGGAAAAGCCCTATTATTCATGGGAATTCGTTGACTTCCTCTTAGAAATTCTCTAAGGAGTCAGAGATGTGGAGGTTCTCCAGGTATCATTTGTTAAAATATACATCAATGAAACCATCTCTTTCGAATTTCCCTGTATAGTGCCTCTAGAGTTTCATTCTGAAGTTGAAGAAAAAGTATTCTTCATATTTTTATGCCTCTACATATTCCTATTTCTGAAAACTAGAAGAGAGGAAAATGTAAAGAATAGAGGACATAATATTAGAATGGCAGAATCTTTCAGATACATTAGAAACAGGTTTGCTTCTGGAATACAATGTGAATTTGGTAAATATTTCCTCAGTATATGAATATGAATACAGTTTGGATTATAGAGAAAAATGTGACAGTGACTTCATGTAGGTTTTCACAAAACCTGTCAGCTTTCTCCCCATTTCAGCTCATATATCGATTCTTTCTAACAGTGAGTCCATCCACTTGGGCTGGAAATGGGTCAAATGCTAGACACGCATGGAGGTCTCTCTTAGGTACTCATGAGAACTGCTCTTGTGTAAGTCACGTCCCGCATGTTCTCACTTATAAGTCAGAGCTGACA